ACAACTTTTCTTTAGAGTAGGTACTTACATTGTCTGGAATTATTTAAAACTAATTGCACTCCATAATTTTCTCGTGGATAAAAAGACAAAATTCCAGGAGATAAACCTAATACAGATTGGTACTTAAGTACGGTTTGCAATAAATGTAGAATGTGGACTGTGAATTATTATCTAATTGTTAGTCTCAACCCAGCAATTGCATTCTTAGGTGCGCAGGGTCCTCGAAACTAAATGCGTTCACATGAAAAAGTCTGGAGTTTCTAGATGGCTAGAATTCTGAGTCCAAGAGGTATGTTTGCACTTGACATTGTGAAAACTTGTAGGCAATGACCAACAAAACCTCCAAAACAGTGAAATCTGAAATTTGCACCGCTCCAAACCTATGAGGTGCATGGTTACCTGGTAGATTTACTGTTGCATTCATGGTTCAGAAACCCATTTTATTGCTGCAAAGATACAGCAAAACGCATCTTGGAAGTCCAGCAGACATTGCTTTGATAGCAGGGTGAATTTTGAACCTTTACGGCAAGGAAGTTTCAGGACGGAGTCATGCAGACTCTCCGAAGTGAGGACTTGTACGTGACGACTTATCTCGCATCGTCTGCGAGACGTACACAACGGTTTAGGTTGGCCATTCAATTTTGGGGGTCAAAAAATGCAAAATATGTCCCAAAGCTTCTCAGAAGCGTACTGAGGAGTGCTATGATTGCAAGGCAAATTTTGAGCCTCCATGGTTGGGAGGTTTACCCATCAATGGAGTCATGTAGACTTCCACTCCAAAGCTCAGACCTCTGAGGCAGAACTTTCCGCATGACCAGGCAGATATAAATAGTAGAATGCTTGATGTAAAATAAAAAAGCAGAAGGATTGATTTACCTTGAAAAGCAGCTTCAAACTGTGTTTTCTCAGCGACGGTCGGGTTGGGGTTGGTACAAAACACTAACACATTCACCATGAGCAGAAACGCACACGCGAAAAACACTTTCCCCTGTTTGTAGGACATGGTTCCGGCATAGACTTCCCGAAAACACCGCGGATTATCCCTCGGCCCTAATGAACACCACAGCGTGAACCGGCCCCGTAAGGAATTTCGCGAAAACGCACAACATGATTCATTCCAGACAGGGTCCCGAACTTGAGGTTATCGCACCCGGAGATTCCCAAACATAACCGGCTTGACGAAACATCGCAAGGGAAACACGCACACAGAAACTTTCACAGGAGTTTGTTTGGGAAGTGTTTCATTTTAGCCTCGGCGGAATCGATCACGGCTACGTTACGAAATCGCGGTTTTACACTGATAGGAGTTTCGAACGGGGTTGGGGTGTTTTGATAGCGGAGGCGATTCGCGGGCCTACGCGCAAGGCAGGAAAAGGAAGACTGATTATCGAACGATTCTCTCGCCGGTTGCCGCAGCGCGCTCAGCCGGCGAGCTTGGGAGACCCACCCGCGATGCTTCCAAAGCTGCTCGATAGAGAGCGCTCCAGGGCGCGGATGCAATGCGTCTTGCAGGGTCGATGTTTGAAGGGGTTTGTTTCTCCAGTAAGTCAATGGCATTGATTTGCCGTCTCCCTAACTGCCTTTTCCTCGTAGAGAAAAAAAAGGAGGTGTTTGCAATTCGGGCATCTTAGATTTTGTTTGATGACAGGTCCGTACGGCGACTTTTATCATCGATTTTCTTGGAAATGCTACACCATTTCCAAGAAAATCGATGATAAAAGTCGCCATGGAAAATATGGAAAAAATGCATTCTACATGAAGTGTTTGAAATTATGTCATGAGTTGATTTAAGTACGCAAAAAAATCGGACGTTATGGTCCGTTTTTCATACTTCGAATTCCGAATTTTGCTGCCCAGGTTGTACCAACCTACGTCACAGAGTGCACACTCCTCAAGATTCAAACACCTCCTTTTTTTTCTCTAAGTCTTTTCTTTGCAATGGGGCGTTCTTCGATAAAGGGGCGTATGAGACTTGAAACGATTGTGCGGATTCCTTTGAAAGTTTTAAAGAATTTGCTTCGTCTCATCCGACTTATCCGACAGCTCTGCTATGAATTTTTCCCTTAATCTGCTTTGGGGTTTTCCTCACTAGGTATTGTATGGAAGTTAGTCAACTGTGAATGAATTTCAGCTGCCATGAACTCGATAAAAAATTGCACAATCTTAGCAGCATTGCAAGCCTCATTCGCCCATTTATCGACAAATTCCTCAATTATGCACTGATTCACTAAGGTGAGCAGGAAAAAATAAGCTTGACATGAAAAGATTTTAAATCAAAATTTCATGTTAAATACGCTGAACACATAAAAAGGTAGCAAAATCTCACAGGTGAAAAATAAGCTTTTCACCCCCATGGTTAATTCGAACTTCCTACCAGCAGAAAACTTAGGTCAACTTAGGAGTCAGATTGGTCACAAAATAAATTCCTATTTACTTTGCAATAAAATGTTTTTTCTGGTGAGCAAAAATATTTTAGACAGTTACAGAAGTATCATGTAGTTGAGTGGGAAAGAGATTTTTGAAGAAAAAACAATTTAGTCACTTCCTAGATCTGTTAAGTGCCTATTTGGCTTTTAATGACTGATTTGACTTGTATTGATTTTGGTTTTTTGCAAGAAGGAAGTTTGAATTTCCTGAGATTAGTGTATAACATTACCTACTTTTTCACATACAAGTTGATTTTATGGACCTTTTGAACCCATTAAAAACTTTTTTTCATAAAATCTTGACGGTAAAAATATCTTAGGTTGCTTAGAAAACTTCAGAGGAATAAGGCCGCATTACAGCATTTTCACTTTTTAGCAGCAGCATTATTCATGACATATATAGAAAGCATTGGCAGTAGGCTAAGGTAAAGAACACAAAACATCTAAGGGCTAGTATTGATTGATTTTCCCCCTTTTAATTCTCTTTTTTTTCATGGTATGAATTAAATATGATGAGAAATTGCCCTGGTTTTGCTATAGACTTCCTGTGATCACTGCTCACCGTTCAACTTTGCAATGTTTTATGATAAATTAAAGAAGCATGCCAAGTCAGAAGTAAAATGTCATTTATTCGAATTTGATAAATTAGGAATCTTACGGATGGTGTAAGTAGGTAAAAATTGGTTAAAATACATCAAAAACAAATTTAAAGCTTTTTGAAACATTTCACATGAATTTAGATTGAAACTGATGATTTAGGTAGTTCAACTAAAAATTCCATATGACCTGCTTTTCTTCGATACTTTCAGCAACTGCTGAAAAAGGTCTTGAAAAACGATTACCATCTTAATTGTACAATTCCATAAAAAAAAATTATCAAAATAAAACTTCTGAAAATGCAGATATTTACAATTTGCAATGTAATTTTTTTCTCACTTTTCATCAGTTATTGGTTAATCACAGATAGATTGCATTTGCATGTGTAATAAATATTATAAAATTTTAAATAAATAGAAATCTTACATCTGTGAGAGCTAGAGCTAGAAAAAGAGGCTAGCACCCACGTGAATAAGGCACATAACTAAATTCAAGGGGTGAATTTTAATTTTAAAAAAAAATGCAGATCAAAATGCAGCAGGATTACAATTTAAGTATAGAATAAAAATGGAGAAAAATGCACACTGATAATTTCGATGAATTACTTTTAGCTTGAAGAAAAAAACACAAGATTTAATAAATTGAAGTAAGAAATATAATAGCATCAAGTGCAAAAATCTCATTTTGATTTTTAACGGGAAAAACTAGGCGTTCCAAGCTCATGATGGAATGTTAGCTATTGTGCCACGAACGGAACGTCATTCGGAGAGTAGGATTCATAGTTGGGCGGAAATGAAAATATAACATAAATAGATAAATAAATAGGAAAAAAAGAGCTGCATGGAGCAGCAAAATACTGTAGAAAATTAAAATTCAATCTATAGCTCTAATTCCAGCATTATCATGTCTGCGCCACTATGCATTTGACGAGCCGTTCCCTTTCACCATTTCTTCTCTGAGCAGTTTTTAAATTTATTTTTTTCCTTGCTACATAAAACCTAATTTATTGAAGATTCAAAAATGGTTATGAGCTTTAGATTAAATGGCATGATTTTCTGTCCCTAATGTGTATTTTGTTGCTCCAAGCGTATAAGTAGAACCAATAAAATTAGACATTTAATGGCAACAGATGCGTTTACAAGAACAAAAGCACCCTCATCTAAGAGTTTCAAAATCTTGTACAAGCCATCGGTAATTTTTACACACGAATCTCAGTAAAGATTATTGAATTACGGGAGTTCCTTGCATTACTTATGATAGCCACACCACACATACTTACAAAAAAAATTTCAACAAAAAATGTTGATCAATAACGATAATATTTTTTCATCAATTATCGACGGAAGGAATTTTCAAAGAGATATTTTTAAATGAGAAAAGACAATTTGAATTTAACTTTTAGGAGCGCTACAAAGAGCAAAAAGCAAAATTGAAAAGTTTTAAATTTTGTTCCAGATAATAACTTCGGGTAAAGGCCTGAGCTTTGAAAATTAACTTCGAACGAGAAAGTATGTAAGCTATGTGAAATTTTGCCTGATATATATGCAAGTTCTCTGTAAATTATGATCAACTCACAAAATATCTACGTAATGGTATTGTTAAATTTTAAATGGTTACTTCGTGGCTCTTAAATGAAGGTTCGTTGATGGATTGCTTCATTAAAATAAGAGATGCATTTTGTAATCAGGTATTTCAAACTGAAAATGTATGTATCTAAATCGAATTAAATATATACATGCAACCTACACAAAAAAATAAACAAGGTAACATAAAAACTTATGTTGAAGAAATGTACGACAGCAATAAAGATCAATATTTATTCCACCTCTGAAACTTCTTTCAGACGTCAAAGGAGGTTAACAAGATATATGAAAATCTTTTCTCCTTCATCACGAAGAGACATTCATTTTACGTTAGAGAGACAATACAATTGTTTTTATGTACAAGTTCACTTCTACAGCAGATATGTTTTATCCGCGTTTACAGAAGACACCCATCTCTACAAACTTAAGCCAAGTGAATGTATGTTTACAGCTTTTGAGAAAAAAAAGTCAATTCAAATTCTGATTTGTAATTGAAATGTCATTTTATAAAATTTAGATATGTTGCAACTTCAATATTTCATTGCGCTTCAAATACTTATGGTATGGATTTAATCTTGCATGGGTTTCTTGGAACCAAGATTCTTCATCCGTTTCTCTAAAGGTTCACCCATCGACTTATTTGAAAAACGGTGTTGAGGGCACAAAAGAACTCCTTCATAAAAAAAATAATACAGTACATTGAGCACGAAAATGAAATAAATGCTCCTTAAATTAATGTTAAATCCAACCATTTTCAGAGGGAGCTTGTTTCATAAGTAGAAAAGTGACAAGTGACTAAGTAGGGAGCAATAACAATTCATATAGCTTTGAACAAAAATTCAGTACGGTTTATTGTCAGAAAACAACAAAACTTGCATCCTCCATTCGCTCAGGTATTAATTTAAAGAAAATCTTTGACTATCATTTTTGGTGGATAATTATTTACTTAGAATGGAAATTTTTTTGTGCAATGAGAGGATCTGCAAGGATTTTAAAAAGTTTTTTAGAAAAAATGAGAAGCAATCACGTTAAAAAAAATTCTCTCTTTATCTATCATTATAAAAACATACTAATATCATTCAATGATTGAAAACCATACTGCAATAACACTGCCTCAAGAGGTATATGCTTCCTAGGATAGAGTTGATAAAATTAAACAGTGTCTCCAGGATAGCACTGGTGTTTTTTTTCCCCGCAGAAGAGGGAACTGACTACTTATTTGAATAGTTAAGCTCTTTTAAGAGCAGAAAAAAAAACGCAATAAAGTTAGACAATTAATCATATTTTAGGGAATCTCTTTTAAGCCGCAGTCCTACTGGAGGAATGTTTTTTTTAGTTGCATCACGTGCCTAAATTTTCTGGAACTCAACTCAATCTTCATTTACAAAAAATACTGCTATGGTACAAAAAACGCTTGCTGGTTAAAAAAATTGCACTGCCCTATTTACAGATACTTATGGTGGCTTGGTATTTACAATTTTTACAGTGCGACATTATATATAATATATTTCACTATATTATATACAATACTGAACAGTATATTTATAAATTTAAGGCATGATCATTTCTTTCATGGAGTCCCAATTCTTTTCGATGGGTGCATAAACTATCATGACGTTTAAGACGGCTGTTACAGCGATGATTCCTAAGACGTACAGGAACAGAATGAACTTCCGGAAACCAGAATACTGAAAACAAAAAACAGATTATAATCACGTGAATAAAAAAATCTTTTATAAATAAGGGTCTGACCTTAATTTCAAACTTTAAATCGGTATTAAAAGTGGATACACTTGTGCTTGAAATAATTTAGAAATGTGTAGTCCCCACCTAAAATGACACAATCTTTGGAAAAATGCAGAATTTCACTGAATAAGTAGAGCATTGTGCTACGGGCGTTCATATAAGTAAAGTAAGTTTTAAAAAAATGTCCAAGGAAGTTTCCTTAGGTGATTCTCACATTTGATGGACACAATTTCTCGCAGGGCTGTGTGCTGATTGGGATTATTTTGCATTCTGCAGAAAAAAAGCGTTTATACAAATAAAATGGACAGAAACTAACCAAAAGGAACCAAATTACAGTGAGTTAGGAGGTTTCTTTCTCCATATGCCCAAGTAGCGTTTCTCAACGGAAAAATCGCTATATATTGCGATTTTATCGGCGATAAAATCACCAGGATCATCAACATCTGAGCAATTATCCTCAATCTTATCGCAATAAAATTGCACTTTTATCGCCCGACAATTTATCTCAATATTTTCGAAATAAAAATCGCGATAAATGGCGATTTAATCTTGATTTTATTGACAAAAATTGATCACGATTTTATCGAACCAAAAACTGCAATTTGTAGCGATTTAATCGCCATATATCGCTATTTTTATTGCGATAATATCTCAATATGTTGCCACTGATATAATTGCAATAACCAACCGATAAAATCGCTATTCATCGCGATCACCGCTACTTGGGTGATTCAAATTTAAAAATCAAGTTTGACGCCTATTTTCACAATCAAAATATTTCTTTCTCAACCTTTAACGTTTGACAGGATAAAATGTGTGGCTAGCCAAGCTTCAAACTATTGTAACCTTTTTTTTTTCTAAAACGGGACTTGGTTCTTTTCTATTCAATTTAGTACACATGGTGACATGAGGCGAATCTTACCGGAGCATCTGATTTCCTTTCGATGTATGACGGACTCCTGCTCAGATGCATATCTTTCATTGGGAATGAGTTGACTCGTTGTTGCTTTTGTTGTTCGCTCATGCAACCGGACACCTTCACAGAAACGAATGAGAACATTAAAAACAGGAAATATGCAAGAGATAACACAGACATTGACGAAAATTAACAAACGTTCAAACTTTGACACCTTCATTAAAGGTATTTTGAACTGTCATGGGTCTGAAATTGAGGAGTAGGAGAAGTCCAAGAAAATTACTGCAATCAAAATGGATCAAAGCACCTGATGATTTTTTTCGGAGTTTGAACAAAAATTTGTTTGCTTGACCGACAATTTTATTTGTAAAGATTAGTACATTAGCTTGGACAGAAAGGCTCAATACAAGTCACATTAGAAGAAGTTACAAAAAAGAGTAATCTTACAAATTTAAAAAATCTTGCAAGGTGTAGAGAGGGTTTTGTAAATAGTGTTCTTTTAATACCTTAATGAACAAATTTGGCGACTCAGCTTTGATAAAGATTTCTTTCAACTCTTTGGGTAACTTCTTGAAAAATCTGACAGTCCTAAACTCAAAGCTATCCCAGTCCCAGCATGTGCCAATATTTCTCGTAGTTCTCACTAGAATGTTTCTTGTTTCCATTTGATGGTCATTTATGCTTCTCTCCTTACTAATATTTGCCATTTTTATCGCTTCAAATCAATTTTTATCGCAATAAAATTTAACTTTCCTGATCAAGGCAAAAAACTGGACACAAAACGATTGTAACATTAGAACTCAGCAGAGTAATGAGGGCTATTTAACTATCAACTCTACAACCAACGATGATGAATTTTCAAATTTACTTACTGATAGAATTAGGTGAACAAGAACGTAATAAGCAACATATGCGACTAGAATCCAGTCGGTCCAAGGAGGTAGCTCAGCTTTTCCTATCTCAACTGCTAAAAAGATTGTTACAACTGGAAGAGAAAAAAATCAAAAATTCAAATCATAAATAACATAGAACACAGTTTTTCAAATTTTTTACTTTATGACAATACCAAAAGGGGTAAAGCTGACTGTTAGAGAATACTTTAATAGAAATTAGAAGCTATGTAATTCCTCATTGATCTAAAATTTTACGATACCAAATTTCATGTAAATGTCCTTTCTACTCTGATGCATGGTTTTTGTGAACTTCTTGCGATAAAGAAAAATTCAGTATGACGAGGAATTATTACATCGTAAAAACCTTGAAATGGATTGTGTGGCTAAATTGACTTGAGTAGGTAGACAGTAATTTTTTGGTTGAATTTGAATTAGTGAACACAGGAAATTATAACTTCTCATGTTTCAGCTGACTTTCAAAATCTTTTAGTGTTTTTCCGACGCTCTTTGTAGTCTATACGCTAAGTAAGTAGTTATCCATAAAGAAAATAACGTATGACAGAAAATCTGCAGCGCCATGAACTGAGAAACGTATTTCTGGAGTTTCACTGCCAATTTGTTGTGATGCTTCATTTCCAACCCTGTTTAGTAGTCCGTCCTTAAACATTGTGGACGTTTAAAATGAAGATATGAGTCAATTCTGAAGATGGGACATTTAAACATGAACATAGCTAAATGAGATTCATACTTACTTCCAACAATGTGGGCTCCATTCCCGATGAGCCAGTGGAGCCAGTTGAATACCCATCGTTTGCTAGACTCAGGGTGAGGTCTCAGGTAAGCACCGATTGGCTGAATGAATGCCAATGATGTTGTTATGACTCCAAGAAGAGCGTGCGTTTCGCTGGGTCCCTGCACCCAGCCACCGACCTCGTAGAATATGATGATACCACCGGATACTGACAGCAACCATGTTATGACCATTAAGAATCTATGCCACTGTAAAAATGTAAATTTTAGATTGATTTTAAATTTTTATTTCTGCTCAATGCTTGGAGAAAAATGGACTTCGGAAAAATTCAAAGAACTAATTGTTAATTAAAGCATCTTTTCACTAGGGTAAATAGAATGAAAACTTAGAAAAAAAAAGAGAAAAAAAAGAAGAAAATTTGATGAAAATTGAATTGAAATTGAATTATTTTTTTAACTGCAATTTTTATGAAAATTTTACAGAGAAAGAAACGTTTAGATTGCTGAGCTCAAATCTTTTACTTTTGCAGTTAAGATTTTACCAATAAATAATTTGGATACAGGATGCATTTGCAGAATAGGTACTAAAATCCGCACTCCAACTTTAATCATAACTTCACTGTCCCACGACGCCTACTTAGGTATCAGTGATTGTCAAACGCTGCAATTTGATCAGTAGATTATCAAGATTTTATTGTCAGCAATTTATCTCAATATTGTCAAACCAGAAATCCTGATGAATTGCGATTGAATCGTAATGGAATAGTGGCAATTTTAGGCGATCGACAACACATGAATAATTATCCTCCATTTTATCCTGATAAAATCAAGATTATTTTTTTGATGCTGAAATCAAAACTGCCATAAAATTTAGAATAATCGTTCACATGTTGGTGATCCTAAAAATGTATAGCGGATATAGTTGCTATTAAATGGTAACATTACTCGAAAAAGGCGGAATTTTTCCATCGCAGTAATGATTAGGTACCAAAATATTAGCCACGCTCCGTAAGTTAATCCCTGTAGGATTTTCATTGAGGGCACACCTTGCTAAGCATCACACGAGGTCTATGCACTGCAACAAGCTATCAGGGTGTCTAGTTTCTTTTCATTTTGGGAATTCCTGATTTTTGACTGCTAAGTTCTGGTTTCATAATTTTTCCAAATCCTGAAGAAATCCTGATTTTTTACTGCTATATCCTGATTTCACAATTTTCTCAAAATCCTGATTTTATTGTGAAGAAAAATCCAAATTACGGTATAAGCTCATGCGAAAGCAATCTTATCGGACGGCCGACTTTTCTCAAATCCTGATTTCACGATCGATTTTTCCTCAAATCCTGATGAAATTGGGATTAAATCCTGATTGACCTCAAATCCTGATAGAATCAGGAAAATTGGATAAATCCTGATGCTAGACACCCTGACTATGCAACACAAAAACTAAAAAAGCATTAAAATTTGATAACTTCAATGTAAGACTTACAGCAAACCACTGGTCCTTTGTGCACAGTCGACTTCCAACCCATGTCTGCTTGTAGTACCGTGCTAGAACAATACCAATGCTGGCAGCTCCAATCCAGGCGGATACCATGAAAACTCCGTGCAAGTGAACGAATATTTTTGTACTGGCAGTGAAAGCACTGACATCTGACAAAGCCTTCTTTTGAGCAGTCGCATCCACAGCCACATCGTGATAGCCTACACCACTTGCTACAATCAAGAAAAATAAATAAAGGGTAAAATCTGATTTAAAAAATAAAAATAAATAATCTGATTGAGAATTTGCAGGTGTCTGAAATTTGATAAATTTCGTGTTTAAGTGGACGCTACTAGCCAACGCAACCAAGTTAGCTGAACACGAGGATAGCCTTGGTTTATTAATTGAACAATTATTTGAGGAGTTATGACCATATGAGTGTGACGAGTATAAGTATCTCGGTGTTTGGCTCGATCAGGATGGAAGGATGGATAGAGCAATTAAGGACAGGATCATCCAGGGCAGGAGAGCCATCGCGATGCTAAACGGGGTGCTCTGGGATCAGAGCATCTCAAAGGCAAACAAGCACCGGATATATGACGCCATCGTTAAAAGTATCGTGCTCTATGGTAGTGAAGTGTGGCCTTTGACGAAAAGAACGCAAGAAATGTTGAGGGCAACTGAAATGGATTTTTGGCGGCGATCTGCCGGCATTTCGAGACGGGACCGTGTCCGTAATGAGAGAATTCGCCAGGTGATGAAGGTTGAGAAAGATATCGTGCACGACGTCATGTCCAGGCAGTTATGCTGGTATGGACATGTGCAAAGAATGTCGGAGGAGAGGTTGCCCAAACAAGTTTTGGATTGGGCACCACCTGGGAAGAGGCGACGGGGACGTCCCGTAAAGGGTTGGCGGCAGGGCGTTGACGAAGAGATGTTGCGGTGTCAGTTGCCCGATAACCTCTGGGAAGACAGGCATATGTGGCGTTTGGGTGTCGTAGAACGCCAGAGTGCGTTATAAAGCGACTTTATATATATATGACCATATGATCTAATCTGCTAAAATACATGCGTTTAAATGGGAAATTCCGCCAGATGACGTCACTAGGCGGTGCATTTACCCACTTTTACATCTATTTTTCTACTATCCCCATAGCAGAAAAAAATTTATAAAAAATACCTACTGCAAAATCAATGCTTTAGGCACTTTCGGCTAAAGCAATAAAAAATTTGCATGCAAATTCTCCATTGCTTTTAAGTTTTCTTGAACACATCACCAATTTTTCTTTGGATTACACCAGTTCAGTCAAAAATACATGAATTTTTTTTGTATGGGAAGATTCCTCATTTAAGAGGTATTTCTTCAAGGGTCAAGATCAGCCCAAGGGAAAATAATTGGTTTTAGCTGGATATTGAATCCTATCAAAGGGATGAGTTGCTGACGATACAAGCCTGAAGGTCTCAGCTGATAATTTTTCATTTTTTTCCTTTCATTTTCTCAGTTGAAAGTCCCTATTTTACTAAAATATACAAAGGTAAGCTTGCATTAGGCTGCAATTCAGATATTTTTCTCGTAGCATGAGAGAGGTTGATCCACACAGAAATCATTCTGATACTTTTTTCTGCTTTACCTATTCGATCGAAAAACAAAATTAAACCAGAAAATATGGGAGGTTTCCAAATAAGTTAATTTATTACCTCTTCTTATGTTTCCTGGGAAATGAAAGACATGTAAAAAGAGCAGGTATAAAAGATTAGGAGAAAAAATAGATTGTTGAAGCCAATTCCGTTTTTGGACCTATCGCTGCTTGTCTGAGTAGAGAGTGTAGGTACATTACAAAACGTATAAAATACAGTTAAGAACTTTAGAGCTGGATAGGGGAAAAGGAAAAATCTTATCTTGTGTGGATGCTCTAAAAATTGGTGCAATAATCTCCTATTTGAGTATTCATGTCAAGAAAATATTTTAGGTTCAGTTTAACATATTTTGAAGATCTTAAATATCAAGCATTAACTGTATCAATGTAACCAAATAAGAGAGAGAGAGAGAGAGACACACAATAGCCCGAATGCAGACAACAATAAAAACACACTAAAATAAAAAAAACAAATGGGTATACAAGGCTAGAGGAGACATAAAACAACCAGGACGTTTTGGGCCAATTACATGCCCATTCTTAACTGGAACAGAAGCTAAAAAATGTAAAAATTAAAATATCGTTTTAATAGAACAGAAGCTAAAAAATATAAAAATTAAAATCTCGTTTTAATTTTTACATTTTTTAGCTTCTGTTCTAGTTGAGAATGGGCATGTAATTGGCCCAAAACGTCCTGGTTGTTTTAAGTCTCCTCCAGCCTTGTATACCCATTTGTTTTTTGTATTTTAGTGTGCTTTTATTGTTGTAACCAAATATTTATGTAATATTTTTAAAAAAATCCCAGTACCTAGGTAATTTAAAATCAGTGGAAGGCATCTTTTTCAATACCTACATCTGAAATCGAAAGGTTTTTTTTTTTTTTTTTTTTTTTTTTTTCAACAGAAACCACTTAAAATTGACTTATACAAAACTGGAAAAAATAGACAAAAACAGGAGTATTTTGAGTATTTTTTTAGTGCTTGAAGCTGTAATTTTACCTTAACTAGAAGCTAAGTGTCGACTCAGTAAGAGGAAAAACTTACGTTTCAGCGTAGACCCAGCAGCTAATAAAACATTGTATTCATCTCGAGTCAGATCAAAAACTTTGCCTTTGACGGTGGTTACAGGATCTCTGATCAATTTACAGTAAATTGTACCATCAACGTATGTTCCGTTCAGAAGTGTTATTCCGTTTTCACCCTTTAAAAATTAAATAAAAAGTTCATTAAATAACACTTGAACATTATTAAGTATATTCTAGGATTTAAGATAAACATGACTGCGATTTAAAAAGATACAGACCATATTGGTAAGCTTAGAAAATTGTATATTCCAGTTGAGTCACTTTAAAACATAAAACATCAAATGTGAAAGGAGATGTGCCACATCGCAAACCACAATACATTTCTTCTTTTTTCACTATCAGTATGAGTTACAAACATTTTAAAACATCAGATAGTGTTTCTTGCAAAATTGTTTGACTCTTTAAAATCAGAGGCGTATGATGTTTTCACAAAAAAAAAAAAAAACTCACACATTGTGAAGTTGAATTTGCTCCTTCTTTACAACTTTTGACTCCAGTCAAGAGATCTGAACAATGTAGGTATTTGGTAAAGTTTAAACATTTTCCCCCAAATTTTTTCTGTACTTAAGGTGATTCGATGGACGCCATACTTTGTGTCAGAACGGCATGCAATATATTGCATCGATTAGTTATCCATTTTTTCAGCTACTCGTCATATTTCTCGAATTTTGAGATCGCAATCCTGTTGTCAGCAGACTGAAGAATTCACTTACCAATTTTGACAAACAAATTCAACGTGAGGAAGGCGTGGTTTTTTCAGAGAAAAAATATCGCATTCAAGTGCAGTTTCGATATCGGTATCGAAAGCAATATTTTTCCTCTGAAAAACCACGCATTTATTACATTTCATTTGTTTTTCAAAGTTGGTAAGTGAATTCTTTAGTCTCCTGACGACAGAATTGCGATCTCAAAATTCGAGAAAAATGACGAGTAGCTGAAAAAATGGAACCAATTGATGCGATACAACACACGTTGTTCTGACACAAAATATGGCGTCCATTGAATCACCTTAATGAATGCTTTTGAAGTCATCTTTTCAGAGTATGAAAAGTAAAAACCAAAGAGAAAGAACTCACCAAACGTTCATTAGCTTTGTCGCCAGGCTTGTTCCAGCTAGTGTAAGCACGGATGCTGTTGGAAGAAGCACTACCTTCATGTACACATTCCATGACCGCATCTCCTCCCTATAATATCAACCATGGTAAAATTTAAAGAAATAAAGATCGATTTAATAAAACGGATGGGTCATACATTTATTGATTTGCATGTGGCTAGTATAAATTGAAATTATTAGCCCTTGCTTGGTTTTTCATTATTGAAAAGTTCCTTGCAAGGATCTGCATTGGAAGAAAAAACACATTGGATCTAGAGTCCAGACTCTTGAAAACATTGACAAGAAAAAGGACTCTTGATTCAATCAGATTTAAGCTTAAGTCAAAAGGAAATCCGCTCAAATTAAGAGGCTTGGTTCTTGATTTAAGCTTAAATCTGATTGAATCAAGAGTATTTTTTCTTGTCGATATTTTTAAGAGTCTGGACTCTAGATCCAATGTATTTTTTTTCCAGTGTGTTTTCTGCATTCTTTATATTAATTTATTTAACATGAAATAAAACGCTTCAATGCGTACCTTGCATAAAATTCAATTGACACATTTTGAACGATAAAATCATTTTTAATTTGTTTTGAAGCACTAAATTTGACCTAAATTATGCCTCGCTTGGTCAGAAAACTTTGTCAAGAGCATAAAATACCTACCATTTTGTTATCCTCTGAAAGTCCAACAGCAACATACGCAGCTCCGTTTGCCTTCATTTCAAAAATATATCTCGTGCCTTGAACCATGAACGTTGCAACAGCAGTGCAAGACTGGAGTTCAATACAACCTTGAGGTATCCCAAAGCAGTTCTTGGTGGCGCCGCACCCATCGAATATCTCATCCCGTTTGATTACTTTGCGATAGTTTGAGAGGACTTTTTTCTCCGGAGAGCTGACATACGCTACATCGTGGAACCCAACTGTGTTTTCTGCAAAAATAAAGCATAGATAGCAAAAGATATTTCTCAAAGAAGTTTTGATCAACAGTGGCCGAAGATACGGAGGGTTACCGATGTTAAGATGAATGGTGAAAACCGTAAAATAACTCAGCATAAAATGAAACAATAAGTCAAGAAGGACCTGCTATGCTGACCACACAGATGACAAACAATTGACATACTTTCTAACATGACCTATCACGGCACAAATATGATGCCTTCCAAACTAGCAAGGAGGTTTCTAAAATTTAAAAACAAAAAACTGGACTTAATTATATACTTGATTGAAGAATATGTGTATGCATTTTTAATAATGCAGGATACTTTTTAAAAGATATTAACATTTTTTATTCCAGTTTTTAGAGTTGGAAAAAAAGCAAAAACAATTTTAAATAATCAAATTCTTACGTTTCAAAGCAGAGCCGGCAGCAAGGAGTGCATGATATTCATTGTTGTCCAGATCAAACTGAATGGGACGGAAAGTTTCAGAGTCAAGAGCTGAGAATTGTGATGAAAGCACCAAAGAACACGCGATGGCGCCATCAGAGCGTAGAGAGCGTTGCAAGGAAAAGTCGACCTGGTCCTGAAATTGAAATATTTAAGGCGGAGTCATGATACAATTGATCTAGGTGTCAAGTAAAGACTATAGTATCTTTACAAATGTGGAATAGATTAAAAAATTATAAGTATCAGATCACAACAGAAATTTTAGAGACTCATTGGAGTAATAATCATTTGCTTTTTGTGAAAATTCAAACTACTGTGGAAGGCGTGTGGTTTCAATGAAAAATTCCTAGAGCTTTGCAGCACTGCAGTTTTGTACTATTCGGTTTTTAACAGCTTTAATAATTTCTAAGATTCAATTTGAGAAGGTACCTAATTTTGTATTTTTGATTAATATCATGATTGTAACATTTTCAAAGCAAAGTCTGACTGATTATAATTTTGCATTATGTACAATATTTCTTTGAACTATTTGTAATTTGAGATGCTCATGGAAACTTGGTGAAATTTACTTATTGCATGTCTGCATGATAACTCTTGTAATTAATGGGGTATTCAAGTTTTACTTTCGTCTCCAAAATGTTGTTAGTAGGTCACAGCAACAAGATTGCTCCAACTTTCTATCACTAAGATTTCATCTCCGGGAGCAATCGACAGGGAGAAGTCTTGTGGATTTTAGCAGATTTGTGGATTTGAGAGTGAATGCATCTAGCTTACCTCTGGCCTCCTGACATTTTTCTTATTGTTAGGTACATTCCAGGATCTAAAAGCTTGGACTCGTCCATCGTCACCACCCTCACATTCAATGACGGCATCTCCACCCTGAAAAGGAAAATTATGTGAGATACTTAGATGAAACAGACAAACTTCACAAGATGGAAACCGACAAAAAAAAACATAAAAAGCATTAAGATATGATCACAATTTGTATTCCCTTGCTTAAATCGATCACAGTACAACATTTGCACTTTCCTAAAAGTAGGTTGTAAATAAAAAGGAAAGTCGTTCTACTTTCACCATTAATTTTATAAAATTAGTGTTGCTGTGCATTCTTAATGACCTTAATTTCCAAATTTCAAGGCAATGAAAGGCAATTTCGTTCTGAGATATATACACCTCATGAAGACTAGAGAACAGAAAAAAGTCCTGCAAAAAAGTAATAGAGGTAACCAGCATTGGAAAAATAGTAACTCAGATGGACCTCAAATTTTTAAAAATTCTTTTTGTGAAAAGGAGAAAAAAATTCACAAGACAGAGAATGTATAGAGAGAGGGATATTAGCAAGAATCAGAAGACAATTCTCTAATGGCACGCTGCGGCGCGGCGTGCTGCCAGCTCGAAACGCGCACTGACTCCTACAAACCTAAAGGGATACTTCAAGCATTGTGCAATGCGCACTGACGCCTACAAACCTAAAGGGATACTTCAAGCATTGCGTGAAGTGGCCCTTTAGCTTTGTAGGCGTCAGTGCGCGTTTCGCGCTAGCAGCATGCGCCGCGTCGCGGCTCTCCCAGCGGGCGGGTGGGTGGTGAACGATTTCTTGCGGGGAGAGCTTCCTGGCGAAGAAACTCGTGTATCGTGTATTACTTTTTTTATTTTCATTTTTATTTTTATTTTTATTTTTTTATTTTATTTTATTTTATTTTTTTTAAATTTTTGACTTTTAAAATTACACACTGGTCGTGTGAAGTAATTAGTGAACTCTCAACGCTAGATGAAGTGTTATTATGAAGGCGGCTCATAAAACTCTCCCTTGTGCTCTGTCGGGCTGTTCGGAGCAAGAGCGCTTTTTTGAAAATACGCGCCATTTTTCGTATTCGAGCTTGTTGCCGCCGGCGCGGTGGCGAATGCAGTGTTGCTACCTGCCGGAGTTATAGAAAAGCCCCAAGGAAGAGCTCCCGCACCGCTAGGTGTCGCTAACGGTACAGCGAGTGGCGAATATACACTATTATTCTTATCAGTGGAAAAAGGAGTTCATGAACGTATTCCGATTCAGAGCGGTTTTCATTGAACATTGTTAACAAATTTAACCACTCCTTAAAACAAGAATTGTCAGGATGGCAAATTTCATTGGGTTTTAAAATTTCCTGACACTTCAGGGATTTGGAACATAAAATTCTCGGACTTGAGTGTTCTGAATTCTCACGGGCATGGTTTTACTGAAACATTTTTCCACGAAAAATTCTAAGCGGAAAGTTTCTTGAAAAGTTAAAACTGAAATTTTTAGGCTAGAGAAAACGAATTCAAAGATCCATTGATTTTTTAAGGTTTTTTTCCTTGCTTTTCAAGAGCTTTCCACCCTACTCGAGAGTACTTTAGGAGAGGAAAAGTTTAGCATGGAAAGCGGGCAACCCCAATCGGACTGCATTTTGCAATTTGGAACTAAAAACCGTAGCCCTGTTTAAAAACAACGTATGTGCCATTAGTTTCCCTATGCACATACTTGTTTTTTCAGGTGAGCCAGAATTTATAGCTCCAAATTGCAAAATGCAGTCCAATTCATTCCTGCGTTCGTCTATGTAACTAAAACAAAGAGTCGAAAATCGGGTACCATTTTGATGTCGTCGGAGAATCCGTAAGCGACGTATTTGCTGTTTTTGGCGAGCATTTCGATGAGGAAGTTGCCGTCGCTCTGGCGGGAAATCGTCCCGACGGCGGTACACGTCTTCGATTGGAAGCAGTTGGGCGGTGCGCCCACGCAATTCTTTGTCGAGCCGCACCCGGAGTAAAGTTGGTTTTCCCAAGCGCTCAAGTCCTGGAAAAGCGGGAAGCAAAATAAGTGGTCAGTTAGGCACTACGGTACAAACCAGTGCAGTGGCGTAGCGTGCTTTGCGATACATCGATTGATCTGTCATTTAAACCTATGGAAAAGGATCGATGAACAGGGTGTTCGCAGCGAACACCTTAATAATCGATTCTTTACCATAGGTTTAAATGGCATAACAATCGATACATCGCAATTCACACCACGCCACTGAACCAGTGGCGAAGCGTGAATGATCGATTATCGATATCTTCCCATTTAAATCTGTGGTTAAGAATCGATTATTAAGGTGTTCGTTGCGAACACCCTGTTTATCGATCCTTTTCCATAGGTTTAAATGGCAGATCAATCGATGTATCGCATAAAACACGCCACGCTATTGGTCTAAACTAGATTTCGTCGTTTCTGGGACGAAGGAACGTAATTCCATTCCAAGGTTGCAAAATTCACTCAAAAAATTCAATTATTTACAAGAATATGTACCTGCGTATGATATTCGTTGAACATTTTTCTGATTCTTGGACGAGATCAGAAGAATTATCAGTTTAATTATCAGTTAGATATTCCCGAGATTCTCCTGGTAAAAAACAATTTTCGCGGGGAAATTTGTCAACACTGAAGTGAAGTTACGTTCTCTCATGAGTAAAATTACGATTTGAGGGGCTTGGAGGAAAAGACATGTAAGTGCAGGTGGTGACAAAAATTGAGGTATTATGAGTTCAAGTAGAACTAGTCTGAATATATTCTGTGAAGAATTGACGACTTAAATCAAATTTTTAAGCGACAAAAAGTGAGTTTAAATTTTCTCTCCGCCGTAAGGCTCCATGCAACTTTCGAAATTCAAATACGTATTTCTTGAAATAGCCAAAACTGCACTTGAGCGTCCTCTCCTGCAGAGCTCTTATTTTATCCGTTTCTAGATTTCATGGAAATCTGCCCAACACCTTATTCTTTCCCATGTGTCTAATTTGCAATTTTTGAAATTTGCATTTCTTAAGTTTGACTGGCTTCAGATCAAGGTAAGTGAAACGCAGGTATGCCCTTGTCGATCCTTTTGGCAGAAACCCAGCTTTTAGTGAGCTTTTCGTTCCCGCCATTAAAGCTGCGGCGCGAGATTTGAATTTCAACAACATTGCAATCTTGCCCGAAAACAAATATGACTGTCTGCGCTTGATAAAAATGACAAATCTCAGTGAAAAAAAAATTTGCTGAGAACTAAGTTCATTTAATTTCCGTGAGAAAGCTGTTTGTTCGTTTTTGTCGACAGCAGGCGGTCACGTTTGTTTTCGGCCAAGATTGTAAAGTTTTTGAGCTTCAAATCTCGCGCTAGGAGTGAAAAGCTGCGCTTCGACCAAAGAGTTTGGCGAGAGCAAACCTACGTTTCACCTACCTTCGCTTTAGATATCACTACCACAATACCACATGTTTTCAAAAAGTACAGACTCCCTCCTGGAAATATTGACGGTTTAAATAACTCGATTTTTCCGAGAATGTCCGCTACGACTCTTTTGCTCTAAACCACTGATAGAGCAGTCAAAAATGCATTCAAGCTCATTCCTAATGACAAAGCATCTGCACCGATCCAATTGTATCAATCAATGAATATATCATAAAACCTATCCTATCGATCATACGAAATTTAAAAGTCTCTGAAATTTGTTTTCTCTGCTTCTAACTTATTAAGGGTCTAAGAGTACGTACTCTCTGCTTCTAACTTATTAAGGGTCGAAGAGTACACTGAAAAAAATGGTATGTTGTTTTAGCACCTAGGATGTCAAAAATATGTCTAGTAATCCTAAGATGTTACCTTGATTGCCCACGCAGTTGAATTTGCATTCAAGGGATGTAAGGTTAACTGACATGGCAGTAAAGGCAGCATCTTCGGATCACCAGACACATTTTTGGCATCCTAAGTGTTAAAACAGCATATTATTTCCTTCAGTATACGTACTCTCTGCTTCTAACTTATTGCGGGTCTAAGAGTACGTACCTGGTCTTGCGGAGCATTGACGTCGGCAGGTCTTTGGGGCGGAGCTCCTCTCTTGACGATCTGTATCGCATCGGACTCCATCTTGGTCCAAAACGTCGTGTAATTCAAAACGACTGTTGCCCTGTAAATCCACAATTATGAACCGATTATGCAACTCAGGTAACTAGGTCTCTGAATAAAGAGAGGTCAACACTGAGAAAATGGGGGTGAAAAATCGGGCGAGCGGGAGGGGGCACATGTCCCCTACTCCCATCCCCCTTAGATTCGCCTACGGTGGACGACTTCCGAGTAAACTCTGTATGTACCTTGTACCTGTACCTTCTCCAAGGATGATTACTTATAATTCCTCCACTTGAGAGTGAAAAATTTTCTTCTCGGAAAAAACATTACTATATTACTTTTTATTACTCAATACTATTATTTTTGTCGTTTTTACCCAATTTCAGGGGAAAAAATCGGAAATTTTTCTTCGTTTTAACCGGCTTTGGTTACGGGTCAAAATTTCGAAATTTCGTCTTATCCGTATTTTTTTTACATTGACTCTTATGGAAGTGTCAAGGGATCGAAAAAAATGTCGCCTTGAGCGGATTTTCGTCTTAACCGTATTTCGTCTTAACGACCTTTTACTGCATAACACTAAAAAACTATGCTCTAATTGACTCATAGAACTTACAAAAATTGTACGTCATCGTTCCAGCCGTCAGGCGCTTCCCAATCCACGTCGACGGTCCTTTTCCTTTTGTTGTCTCTCTGAGTGATGGCTGAACCCTGAAAAAGTAAATTAGAATTAATAATAACCAAAATAAATAGCAAACAAAAAAATTGACATTGAGGAGAAATTTTTTGGAAAGACGACCGGAGAAATGTGGAAAACCAGCGGCCGGGCGCGTGAAAATGTGGAAGCTTGGAAGATTCTGCACACCTGGCTGGTTAGAGAGGCTTTTGGTTCTGAAATTCAAAAATTATGCTAAACGTTCTCAAAGACGGATGCTAGGACTCGATGAGTTTTTGAAGTACAGCTCTCTTTTTAGGCGGTAGTATCTTGATTTATTTTGAGAGGAAAGCTCCTCTTAAAGGATGCCTATCAGCCTTGATGCGTTAGAGCGCCTCCAATTTCATATGATACCGTGCAACACCTCTGTTGCGAAATAGTTGCTTGAAGCGCCGTGGTACTCCGCAGCGCGGCGGGCAACCAGGCGCATAGGCGCCTGCAAACCTAACAGGGATACTTCACGCATTGCGCAATGCGTAAAGTATCCCTGTTGGGTTTGTAGGCGCCAGCGCGCCGCTGAATGATCCACCTCCAGGTGGAATTTTCTGGCCAGAAAAACTCCACAAACCCGGTGAATCGCGCGCGGAGCCTCGGGAGTCGTGTGACATTGCTGTTGTGCTGTGTGTATTCTACTCCTGTGCGCCGGTCACGCGCCCGGGCAGGTGCGTGAAAATGTGGAAAGGCCCCGATTTTGTGGAAAGACCCAAAAATAAGGGTAAAGGGTAAAATTTTTGAGGGCTAAAAATTCTGCACGTCTTTATATCAGTCTCCGTAGAGATCCGCGATACTAGCTCATTGCGATGGACGATTTAAACAACGCGACTCACGGGGAATTTCAAATTGACTGAGTCTCTTTTCTTGCTTTCACTTTTATTTACCATTTTAAACTTTTTAACTACCGAATTTACCATTTTAAAATCGGAAAAATACTTGAAGATTTATCTGTTTTCCACTCTGCACCCCTGGCTGGTTAGAGAGCCTTTTTGTTCTGGAGCAGTTGATGCGGTGTCTATCTGGTAAAATTCCAAATGCAGCCCTGTTTAGAAGCGCAAACCTCAAAAGGGCAAATGAAGCGCCCTCAGGTAGTATAGTATACTACAAATACTACGCTAATTTTAAAATAACGCCCGGCACAGATACAAATATTCGGGCTCTACAGATGTCCATGTTGCATAGGCACGGGAGTGAAGACGTTTTATCTCTCCAAGCGCTCACCGCTTCATTTGAAGCACAGTGCGGCGCTGAGCTGTATTGGGAGGATTCAAAATGAAGAAGAAGAAGAAGAAGAAGAAACGAAGCAGTATTGCCCGTCATCGCATCGCCGTGCGCCACAAGTATAGCGCTGCGTGTCTGAAAAATCAAAACGCCTTCAATCCCGTGCGTATGCAACACGGACATCCGTAGAGCTCGAATAGTTGCATCCGGGAGTTATATTGAAATCAGCGTAGTAATTCTCTTATGCGATACTATCTGAGGGTGCTACGTTTGTTTCTTTTCCGCTTCAACTCAATTCCAGCAATGCTTTTTGCGCCGAGGAATTGTCACGACATCGTCGATATTTGTATCCATGGAAGTAAAAACATTCCAGCCAGGAATGTACTTTACCGCAGGGTTATAGGTCAGAACCCGGTGAGGCACAACACACAGCTTGTAGATGAACTGTCTTACATTGATTTTGCTTCAGACTCACTGAATTGGAGCACCAGTAGGCCAGACTCCAAAAAAAAAAAAAACGAATCAACGACGAAGTATTTAAAGGAAGTAGGCTTAAAGTTCTTGGCATAAAATTGGACAGTGTTCAGCAGAGAGGAACAAAGCCACATCAGCTACTGTTAAATTTAACCGGGCAATTTAATTCTTCATAAGCGGACGCTTGTGCGGATTCTTTTGAAAATTTTAAGAAATTTGCTTTCTAATCAGCAGAAAATTCACAGTTTGCACCAAAATACGCACAAACGTGTTTATGTAAAAACTTATACTACCCAGTGAAATTTGGCGATAGCTGATGTAGCTTGGTTCCTTTCTGCTAAACGCGGTCCAATTCTAGAAAAGGTGTTGGCAAAAGTAATAGGTTCTAGACATTGTTTCTTATCGACGGTGAAACTACCAAACCACGTATCTCGTTTGCGGTGTTTAAAAATCTCCGCTCCTACTTTATTTTTTTGAAGGAGAACAAATCAATGATTTGTCTTAAAATTTTCACTGAGTTTTCGTAGTATAGAGAAGAAAAAACAAGAAAATTTTCAAGAATTGAAGTTGAATAGTGTTCCATTTAAAAAATAAAGTATGGCAGGAAGTCTACAACGTCGCAAACCGAGATACGTGGTTTGGTAGTTTCACCGTCGTTATGCAGCTTTCTAGAGCACAACCCGTCCTCCCCATTCGTTTATAGTTCCGTTTACTTGAAATACGTCCAAATAATTATGATACAATTTAGCCTAAAACTTTCAGATTGGATCAAATACGCTGAAAGTCAAAAACTATGTGCATCAGGGACACTGTGAGTGAAATACTGTTGGTCAACCGTTTTTAGGATGAAGTTTGATTTGATTCCCTGGTAAAAATTGGCGATAAGAGCTGCGTTTCAAAATACCATAGGAATTCTTAAAGCCGACTAAAGAAGGCTACAGAAAATCATATAGCTGGCTGTAAAATGCGGAGAAAATCATGCGGCCGGGCTATACGAAGCTATAAAAAATTATGCATCGGACTATAACATCCCGCCTCAAACTGCTTGAGAACAGTTGAGAGAAAAAAGATATCGGCCTCTGAAATTCGAAAAAAACGTTTACTTTTACATCACTTTTCAACCTCCTATGAAAATCACTAAAAAAAGAAATTTCGAAAATACTGTGGTTAATTGTGTAGAATATAACCCTAAGAATGTGTTGCATATCGCCGAACTTCCCTCCTATGATCGCACAGTTGAAGTAAACTGATTGATGAGTAGCGCGCCGAAACATATCAAAATAATCGCTGAGAAATAGGTAACTTCGTGGTCTCTTCGCGGGAAATTGAGCCACTCGAAAAATGGTACATACATGTCTACCAGGGTAAAAAATAGTGTAGATTTCGAATATCACATTGGTTTTCCACTAAAAAAAAATTTAAAATTGAGGTTTTGGCCAGGTTTTTCGGTCAAATACCACAGTGTGCGGCGCTTGAAGCAACTATTTCACACCAGAGGTATTGCACGGTGTCATACGAAACGGAAGGCGCTCTAATATATTAGGAATGGCAGGCATCCATCAAAAGTACGGAGCTTTCCTCGCAAAATCAATCAAGATACTACGGCCCAAAAAGAGGGCAGTAGTACAAAAACTCGCTAAGCACTAGCATTCGTAATCAGTAACGTTTAGCATACACTTTATCGCCAGGCTGTTGCTTAATCGCCATCGGCATAAAAGGCTATAAGAAATTGTGTAGCCGGCTATAGAAGCTATTGGAGATCTTACAGCCGCCTGTAGGTCTGTGGTATTTTGGAACACAGATCCTACTGCCAATTTTTACCAGGGTGTAGGTCAAATGGATTGCATTTAGCAAAAAGGAACCAAGAGCATTCCGATGTCGCTAAGGTTGTGCAACTTTCTTACCTTGCAAATATAAACTGATCATCTAAACAACTCCCATACACTAAAAGGTTCAGACGAAAATTACCGTTGTATTTTTTTTTTTTTTTTTTTTTTTTTTTTTTTTTTTTTTTTTTTTTTTTTTTCATGATTTCACGCAGTATTTTATTGCAAATAATGTTAGTTGCTTTCCTTTGGGACACTCACCCTACTAGAAACGATCACGTTGATACCAAAGGGGTCCGGAAATAGACCATTGGTATCAACACGATATCAACATGTTATCAAATGGCCTAAAAACCAAAATAGGCAACTATGGTTCGAAATGGACCATGTTGGCGGTCAACATGGTACCAAGTTGGTGAGTGAAACATGTTAACTTGTTGACGGCCAACATGGTACCAGATTGATACCAGTCTGATATCAAGTTAATACCAACTTGGTCTCAACGTTCCCTCCATGTTGATACCATATTGGTCTTTTTTGGTCACTGATGTGGTAACGAAATAAATTGGCCACGGTGGCCACACAAGAATATTCCAAATTAACAGAGCAATTTTTTTTCTCACTTGCCCCATGTTGATATCATGTTGGCGTGAATATGGTAGTATTTTTCACTCACCAACATGAAAATTTTTAGTAGGGCTCCTCCGATTTTTCCCTCGTTTGAGAAGAATCCCCGCTTCCCAGATGACATGTCCAAAACATTTAAGTCCAAAAATTTTATGTCCAGAAATGTCTTATGTCCAATTATTGACAAGTCTAATCTACTGATGTCCGAAAAACTAAGTTGTCCGCATACAAAAAAAGTTTAAATATGGAAGTTCAAAACTATGAAATGTCAAACAAAGATAAAGATGAACAAGCAAACTTTGTTGCTATCACAAAAATCAACGGTGGACATACGAGGATTCGATATCCAATCAGAAGGCTACATCGAATGAGCTTGCAGCAGGTTGAGAATATCGTTGGACAGTATGCAGACTACAAACAAGTTGGAACTGTAGACACCTACCTCCGCGCCATCAGTTGTGCTCTTAAACTGAAAATTCCGCCTGCAGAAGAAAACGCATAATTCCTCTCCTCACTCATGGTAAATATTTTGGCCTTTTGAAATTGGACTTAATGCATTTGCGCATTTCACTAATGGGCTTATGTATACTTGGACCTCCAAAATTTGGACATTATGATTTGGACGTTCCGCCTTTGGACATAGCATTTTGGACATTACACAGGGTTGCCACAAAAATTTGGAAATGATTTTCCAGGTTTTCCCTGACGAAACATAGAGAAATTCCCTGACCTTTGAGAACGCGCGCCATGATCGCACAGCCGAATTTACACCTTGCTAGCTACCATCGCACTAATATAGCGTCTCATTTGAAACGCGCTTAAGCTAAGGAGTCAGAAATTAATTGTAGAACATTTGGAAATACTTAACTCTTGAATGCATCGCGAAATATGCCACTTCATCGCAATTTATATTGCGTTCAAAACCGAAAAAAGAAAGATTGTAAGCAACTCGCGAAAATTGTCAATTTTTCCCTGACTTTTAGCTGTTTTTGGTCAAATTCCCTGACTTTTCCAGGTTTTCCAGAGCACTTTTTTCCCCCCTGACTTTTCCAGGTTTTCCAGAGCACTTTTTTCCCCCCTGACTTTTCCAGGTTTTCCCTGAATTCCCTGACCGTGGCAACCCTGATACAGTTTGGACATTAAAATTTTGGACCCAATATCCGTGAATCGAATCTCCGACTTGGGATATTCGTCTGAGGAGAGAGCTTACCTTGTGGTTGTCGCAGTCGATGAGGGAGGCGTCCTGCGGGACGCGGACGAAGGAGCCGACGGCTTCCTCGGTCTTGAGGTTCCGGGCCTGGATGAGGTAGCCGACGAAGAAGGCGCCGCGCGGGGCGACGAGGTTGACGCGGACACGGCCGCCGTCGGCCGGGCCCACCGGGTCCGCCGAGAGGGTGTACGGCGCCAGGTCGCTCTGGGCCGGCGCCCCGTGCCCGGGCGTCATCGTCCGGCAGGCGAACCGCGGCGCCCCCGCCTTGTAGCCCCCGCAGAGCTCCACCGCCCCCAGCAGCAGGAGCGTCAACGCCGAGAGCCCCATTCCGCTACCCCTGAAACATAAACGGCGACACATTCATTAGTTCCAGCTACAGAATAATTAGTTAGAACAAAAGCACACCAACTCGAAGAAATGAAAATAACGAAGACACACATAAAGCTTCACAGTAGGTGAAGAAGTAGGTCCAAGAAGAAGATTTTTGGTGCCGAAAGACAAGTACTTGAGGGTACTTTAAAGGTCAAAGTTAGAACAGATTCGCTAACTGGGGTGTATAGTTTTTAATTTCGGAAAATCCTGATTTTTTCCAGATTTTTCTCGACTCATGGCACGGTAGGCAAAAAGTAAGACTTTCTCTGCTGAGGAGATTTGCGAAAGAAAAATTCCGTATAAAACGTCCGATTTTTCCGATTATCCTGATATTTTCCTGATTTTTTCCTGATCAGCCAAAATTCCTGATATTTTCCGTTTTTCCCGTTTTTTTTTTTATGCTGGACTTCCTGTTTATGAAAATCGACTGTCTTAAATGAAAATGGAGGATTTTCGAGTTACCGAGTTGGTGTGTTTTCGTCCTCACTGATTCATGAGGTTGATTATGAAATGCACCAAATTGATAAAAAAGATCTTAAAGGAAATTATATGAACAACCCAGGTGGTGCTTGATCCCAACTTTCAAAGAATTAATGGCATATTTCAAAATCTACAGTCCATCGAAGTGAGCTCTCCGTGTGAATTTGACAAAACTCATGTTTTGCCCCTAGCCCCTAGACTTTGGGGGCGTACAGCGGCAGGGGGGTGGGGTGGAGCCCCCTTGTTCAGGAATAATCAATAATTATTCGATAGACTATCGAATTGTTCTACAAAAGGCCTGGCCTGCGGGCCGATTATTGAAATTGATAGACAAAGCTATAGACAAAGACGACAAAAGGAATTTGGAGGGAACCTATTGGTGGAAGCGGGTGGTTGCAATGGACGAAGGCAGTAGGTAATAGACTAACTAACGGCAACCTACGTGAAACCCGACAGTTAGTCCATCATTTTCTCCCTTAGTCCACAGGAGCCACATATTTTAACCAATAGGATCGCCCCATACTCCCCTATGTCGTTTTTGTTTATAGCTTTGTCTATCAATTTCAACAATCAGCCCGCTGCGGTCCATTTCCACTCACTGGAAAAAAAACACATTGGATCTAGAGTCCAGACTCTTAAAAACATCGACAAAAAAAAATACTCTTGATTCAATCAGATTGATTCTCCCTTAGTCCATAGGAACCACATATTTTAACCAATAGGATCGCCCCATACTCCCCTATGTCGTTTTTGCCTATCGCTTTGTCTATCAATTTCAATAATCATCCCGCTAGGTCTACCTTAATGTAATGGTTCAAGTCCATTAGGTGCAAAAGTGGGACACGAAGAAAACCCCTGGCAATTCGCAAGGAACGGAAGGTACCGGGCTTGGGAGCGTGAGTTTCCGGGAAAGCGTGGCTGGAGGCGGCCTCGGTGGTGACCCAGTCAGAGTTCAAACAGCTTCGTTCCGCGGTTAACGCGCCGCGATGGACGATTCCCGGCCGCAACCGGCAAATCGCAATTCGTAATTCGCCACTCGCGGTTGCGGCGGAATCGCGAAGCGCACAAGTCCGGACTTTTGCGACGTGTAAACGCGAGGAAACGGAGAAATTGGTGAGCGGATCGCTAATTACGCCGCCGTTGTCGCTGTTGTCAAATCGTACCGTGGAAATCAATTTCCGAGTCGGAATCCATCGATGTCAAGGTCTAACACATTCACAATAATAAAATTTAACATTTGGACACTACATTATCCAATTGGACCGCTTTTAGTAGAAGAGAACCAAGCCACATCAGCTATTGCCAAATTTAACCAAGCAATTTAATTTTATACATGAAAATGACTGTCTCAAATGACAGGCAGAGTAGGTATATGGAGGGGGGACGGGGCAAGAAATTGATGGACGGCCGCATAAGTCGTTCTGTTTGTTTTTTGGTTAGCGAAAAGTTCGAAGTGTAAAAAAAATTTTTGTTGAAAAGTATAAAAACTTTTTTTTTTTCTTCACAAAAAGTCAACTTTCGCATCCGACAAAACAAAGCTCTTTATCATTTGACAGAGTGTCTAGTTTTTTTTTTCATTTCGGGAAATCCTGATTTTTACTGATTTTTTACTGCTAAGTCCTGATTTCATAATTTTCCAAATCCTGATTTTTTCGGAGAAAAGTTAGGCGAATGTAACTTCACAAAAATAGCTCAATAAAAAAATCCGATCGGACGGCCGGCTTTCCTCAAATCCGATTTTTACCACCGATTTTACCTCAAATCCTGATGAAATCGCGGGATTAAATCCTGATTGACCTCAAATCCTGATGCTAGACACCCTGTTTGAGTACATTTTCCAAGAGAGGGCAGCTTTTTGCTGCTTAAAGCGGTCAGGATTTTCAAGTTATTTTGGCTCGTATTAAATTTTTCAGCTCGTTTTGTTGACAACGCTGTGAGAGACGAATACTTTCTACCCGTATATTCCGTATTAGGCATTACGCGATCATCGCATTTCGCACGGGCCGAGTCAAGGGGCTTAACATTTTACACCTAATTGCGGATAAACGTAGTGAGGATTTGCCTGAACAAGTGTTTTTAACACGTTTTACCTAACTTTGGAGAAAACTGACCTACAAAGAGACCAGATGGCACCACATGAATATGGGGAGAAATAATCAACAACAAAGTAGAAATTAAGTTTACTTGCTCGGTAAAAAACTAGAGCATTGTTTTCTTTTTTTTCTAATTTTTTAAAATAAATAAACTTACCATCAAACGACGCACAGTGATCGAGTCAATAGGAGAGGTCGGACAAAATTTGGAAACTTTAAACGGTTATAACTCCGTTGATACAAAACTTTGAGGTTCTAAAAGTGGTTCCATCTGTTTTCTCGTGAAATTTTTTTCTAGAAACACCCTTTAAAGTTTAAAATGTGATGAAATAAACATAAAAATTTGCAGTTTTAGTCAGAAAGTTGCATATGTGAATGACTACTATCAGAGGAAAAAATCTTCAATAAAATCGAGGTGGTCTGCTCCCCTTATGATACGCCACTGCTTCGTACACATTTTGAGGTGCAAGGCTTTTGAAAATAAAATGTCTGAGATGCTTCTCTGAGACATTGCCCACATACTTGTTCTTTCCCACGGCGATGACAAAATAGGTTCTACGACACTAAAAAAATGGAAAGATTAGAATGATCTGCCTGCGCTATGCGCATAGCTGAAGTAATAATGCCGCACTGATCCCGCATAATATAATGGCCGGTGGCCAAGTGTCTAAACACTGGACGGGACGGTCATGAAACTTGGTCTAGGTTCCTCACCTGGTTCAACCCTACGGCTTGGCGATTAGTGAATGCTCGAGGCAAGTAAAACGTAGAGGCACTGAACTGAAAGAGACGATTACTGCAGATTACTTGTGCAATTTTCTTTTATGAAATCCCCTATCCCGCGCGCGCAGTAAAAAGAAAAGGTAATCTGAAACGGGCTCTATTCCTTGAAACACCGTAGAGCAAAAATCAAAAATTCCAAAATCAGACTTTCAAACAGAATTTGAGAGCGAATATGATACGTGAAATGGAAAATACTGGTGGAATCCTTTCCACAACAACTAGAATCCCATAGGGATTACGGGAATTGTGGTTGTTTTGGAAAAAAATCTGTTAGAAAAACAAAAATCTCTCTGAAACTGTCCAATGGAAAAGAAACTCAGTTGGCACATTGGACGACTTGAAACTTGCGCTTTAGTGCTCAAGGAAGGAGGGCGTATCAACCAAAAGTTTAAATTTTTGTACTTTTTGCCCAATATTTCTTATCTAGCAGTCCGAGAAGACCTCCAAGAGGCTAGGGGGACACCTAAGGACCTTCACACACACCCCTCTCTCGGCCAACCCTCACAAGATGAACGCCTGGAATCGACCAACACGAAGCGAAGCGTAGCCGCGCTCCAAGCGAATTTCCTGCGCGAAAGTTATAACGCGATGGACGGAGCAGGATCTTACGGCAAAACTTTCATTTCCTTAATATGGTCCATTGAGCTGTGCGCAAGGAGGAAAGGAAACATTCCGTCTTTGTAGACTTAATCCGCTATTTTTGCTCCGCATTTATCTTTACCCAAAGAGACAAGGGTTTATTTACTCAAAGATCCATTCGACTGTTTAAAACTCGAGAAAAAGTTAGGGAAACCGGTAGCATTAATTCGGTCTACTTGAGGAGGTTTAGTAAGTTCAAAAACGCAGGAGTGAGGCAACGTAATGTAGTGGTCGGTCGGATGCACCTGCTACTAAGTTGACTTTAATCGTTAAACCCTACGGGTTAGCGAAGCAAAATATAGTAGAATCTTTTCAAATCTCGAATAGCACAATTGGATGGCCTGGCAGAAAAAATGTTCTAAAATTCAATATTCGCAGAGAGGATAATAGTTTTGGTTCATGACATTGCCCGCATTCTTCTTATAAAACGGAATATTAAAAAATATGAAAGTATTAGCTTTGCTTCTCTTGACCAATGGCTCCGGCTTATAACCTCGAATTCATAATTTTTCGAAGACAATTAATCAAAGGATGATAAAATGGTGCTGGGTCCACGCTATATTGCGGGGCAAACAAGGCCAAAAAGTTTAAGGTTTAAAGTTAAAAGTTTAAAGAATTATTAAGTTGAGGTCACGCCGAGAGATCTATAACGTTTTGGGGTCTTTTTAGACCTCGTCAGTAGATTACACTCGTCAGTGAGGCCAGCTTAGCATCCCGCAAAATCCAAGACAGCATCAAAACGCCGTCATGAAAGAGGACCCCAAAGAAAAACCCAAACCCTTAAAGATCTCTCGGTGTGATCTCAACGCGAGCTGCCTGGGCTGAACACTCCCCCCTCTCAGTCTTACACTAGTACTCATTAGAGCTCAAAATTTTTAACTCTGATTGAAATATTCGAACTTGTTGGCCTTGCTTTCCCCTTAAAATGGAATGGCTCCAGCACTATTTTACCACCTCGTTACAGACGATG